CGAGACCGGCGTAAGGTGACCTAGACAAGTCTGTTCGCGGGATTTCGGGTCACACTTGGTGTCAGACTCTGAGCCCATTGCGTATCTTATTTGAGGAGAAAACTCTGCGCGTTTCTGCGGTGCTGCGTGCTTTCGTGTGCAAGTACATACTGTTAGCTAACCAACGATCAAGTGTTTAGAACTCCCTTCTGACAGTGTGATTGGACAATGCGACGAGTGTCAGGGGCTACTATTCTCTCTTCGACAGCCGCGCGGATTCCAGATCCGCTTTCGTCAATTTCCACGTTTTCATACATCGCGTTGTGCTTCCGTTTCTTAGTGCTACCCATTCGTGCACATCACGGGTGCAGAGTGTCGCTATTCTTTCCGGCTGCGAGGAGCGTAACATACAAATTTCTAACAGAAGGCTTGAGAGGAGTCGCTGCTGCGAGAAAAAGGAAATGCACGCAGTATCCGACAGTGAAGCTGAGTCTGCTGGTCCTGGCGTTGGCATTGGCACTCGCGCTTGCGCTTGGCCGACAAAGACTTCTGTACTCCGTGCTACATATATTTCATCGACTACCCACGCATGGAAAACATGGCCCGGCTCCATTACTATGGACTAACGGCCAACAATAAGCGTCAGCTTCTCCCAGCCGAGTGCCTCAGTCTGCTACAGCTTAGCCTCCGTAGATGTCAGTTCAGCGAAAGAGGCAGGCATTGTGTTTAGACCGATGCATTTTCAGATATGATGCAATCTAGATAAGGTGGTATCGTAGCAGGACGCACGGTCCCGTAGTGCTGCCGCGAAGTGGCTGAAGCATACTAAAACGCTTCCGAATCAATTCTTAGACGGTCCGCTAGGTACGGCGGGCTAATCGCTGTCGTTGACTGCCGTAAGGCATCATACTCAAAAAAGATATCTTAACCAGCAGGACCGGTATCGAGCAGGTCGTCGGTTACTCAAAAACGCCAAAATCTTCTGGACAGGGCCAATTACGCGATTTAGGATTCCGGCAAGCCAGAGCCCATTTTTGAACGGGACTTTCTGATTAGGAGACCAGGAACAGTTTATAACTTTGGCTGAGTAGATTGGATACCAGAGTCACGTTAGTCTAGATAAGACCTGAGGCCTGATAAGCTGGTTGTTGAGATCATGCAGAGCCAGGTCATTGATAACGTGATCATCTTGATCTCAGGTCCCGTGATCGTGATTGATGAGGGCTATCTATCTATCATCGGCTTGACATTCGCCGCGGCCTGTTGCTATCATCGTCCGCCCATGACCCAACTCACCAGCGAAGGTGCACCTCCCCCCTTCGGTCGCGAGCTCCTCAAATACTTCGCCTTCGATCCCGACTATGTGAACCTCAATCACGGTCAGTGCAGACGCCCGCCTGTCTGTCTGTCTGTGGAAACGCATCTCATCTTCACATCTCTTCAGGGTCCTACGGATCGCTCCCCCTCCCGGTCCTCGCGGCATGTAACGAGCTGACGATGCGCATCGAGGCGAACCCTGACGTCTTCGTGCGCGTTGACCAGACACCCCTCATCACCGCGACGCGGGAGCGGATCGCCAAGTTTGTGAACGCGAAGACGGAGGAGGTCGTGTTAGTGCGGAACACGAGCCACGGGATCAACACTATCATGAGGTCGTTTGATTTCAAGGAGGGGGATGTCATGGTCACTTGTGCGTCCATGTCCTCCGCTCTCTCCTCTCAGCTCCCGCAGGCGCTCACTCGTTCGAACGCTGTGTGCAGGCAGCACAACGTATGACGCCATGTCCGCACTCGCACGGGCCATCGCAGACGGCCCCACACACCCGACAATATCCCAATTTACCCTCACGTTCCCCACGTCCCACGCGGCGATCGTCTCCGCATACCGGGCGCACCTGCGCGCGATCCCGCGCCACCCCGGGCAAACGGTCGTCGCGCTCATTGACGCGATCATTTCTGTCCCCGGCGCGCTGCTGCCGTGGCAGGAGCTCGTGAAGGTGTGCAAGGAGGAGGGTGTGTATTCCGTCATCGACGCGGCCCATGCTATTGGGCAGGAGCCGAACATTGATTTGGCAAAGGCAGATCCGGATTTCTGGGTATCGGTGCGTCTGTGTCGAATTTATTAACCGGAACAGAAACCCATTTGGTGCATATAGAACTGTCATAAATGGCTGTTTGCTAAGCGTGGTTGCGCCATCATGTTTGTTGCAGAACGGTGGGCTGCTTGTCACGGTCTCCGGAAAGGACTTACTTTTATTCTAGCAACCAGGGAATTGTGCGGTCTTCGTTCCCAGTATCCAAGACGTACATTTCCACCAAAGATAGGAAGTTCCCTGGCGAGAGCTTTGTCGAGCAGTACAACTGTTAGCATTTGGTTCCTTTTGGAATACTCCTCACGCTCCGCTCGCAGGGAATGGTACCATCGATTTCGTTCCTCCCCTGAGCATTGGTCCGGGTCAGTAAAGCCTCTGCCAGTCGTTCAACAATTCAGTAATTATCTTCTAGCCTTGGACTTCCGTAACTGGCTGGGAGGAGAAAAGAAGATCAATGACTATTGTCACTCGATGGCCATCAAGGGTGGTGCCCGTCTTGCTGAAATCTTTGGCACACAAGTCATGGATCAAACGGGTGAATTCACGTGCAGCTTGGTTCGTGGATCTATCCTTTCTTTTCATCAAATGATTGTAACAAAACTATGCACCCCCGAAAATAGGTCAATGTCCAGATACCCCTGCCGTCTTCCATCAAACCTACCAATGAAATCAACGACTTGTTCTACCAGAAGATGCTCGCTCCAACGAACCGGAAAACCAAGGTCAGCGCCGCGGTATACTATCACAATGGAGCCTGGTGGACCCGGTGCAGTGCGCAGATCTGGACAGAGGTGTGCTGATTTCTCGACGAACGACGACGTGGAGCATCATTTCTGATGTTTTCCAAGATCGAAGACTTTGAGCTATTGGGGGCTGTACTGACGGAAGTATGCCAAGAGGTCTTGACCGAGAACAGGGAGCAGCTGGAGTGAATGTAGAATAGATGCTAATCAAATACCCATGCCGAGTCTAACATGCAACTTATCGAGATCTACGGCTTTGCATTGCTATTTGTCATGGACGCTTCGTGCCAGAATGACCCGCCAATGGCTTCCCCACGGTTCTTCTGCGATTCTAAAGCAGACCTTTGCGCCTCCCCTTGCTCCTCGGTCATCCTGCAGCACCTGGCATCGCAGAGGTTTACCATTCAATATGAGAAGTCGGGTCTCGTCGAAGAGTAGACCTGGACAAGTCATTTGTGAAAACTCAGCCGCATGAGAGACGTAGACACGGCTTGGGTAACTCCTCCAGCGTAGAAGCCAGACAGTTCGTAAGTTTGCGAGCGGCCGCGTCAAGGTTGCCCCCACTCCTAGATCGCTGTCACGGGCTTCAAGGCATGATTAAAGATGACGCTACCTGCGGTGGGAGCTCAACGTGACACATTGCCAGAGGGCCCCACAGTCTTCTGGGACGGTGCATCTTGAAGAGATGGCCGTGCAGGGTTCGACCCTGGTCCCGATTGCTCGCCCCGTTCCGGAATCGACATCAACGAGATACGCCCGGCGTGCGTGAACAACACACACAGAGGCCACCCTGAGGGCCCAGCGATCGATCCTGTGCCTTCTGCCAAAATCTTAAGCTTGTCCTGTGCTGCGACCGGGAGAAGCCCGACGATTCTTGATGCGTTCGGTCGCACAGCTGCGTCCGCCTTATCTCTTGCCGGCATCCTGTTGCCCGTGTTCGCGCCTGGAAAGCTCTGCAAGGCCTATCAGAAGCGCTCTCCCTGACCCGCGAGCTTCAACGGGGCCGTTCACAAGGCTCCGCAGAAATGAAAGACCCGCCGACAGGACTCATGAGCGTGAACGGCGGGCCTGACTCCTGCGGGGTCGCGCATATACCCAGCGGGCGTGCCTGCATCCCAAATGTGGCGCAGGGTCACGGCGGCGGACAAGGAAGGGGGCTGACGAGCGCAGTTTCACCCGGCGCTTGCCGGTGCTGAGCAACGGGGCGCACGCGATGGCTAAGTTTGGGCCGCGATCGGTGCATAGCCTTGCAGGCGACCTTGTGATACCACGAGCCGGCGGCCAGGATGTCTAGTGCTAGTTCTGGCAGACGGAGAGGTGGTTGGTGGCCCCGGGCCCCCCGGGCCGAGCCGTGCGTTATGGTGGATGCGCTTGACCGCGGATCGGTCTACGCCCGTCAACTACCTTCCCGTGAGTTAGGCGCGGTCAGGCTTGCAGGCTCGGTCCTGCGCAATTCGTCGAGCGACTGTACGCTATTATCGGGGAACCTTGTTGAGCGGAGACGAATTTGAGTCCGGGAATACCTCGTGGATGAGTGCAAGAAAGAGACAAAGCTTTCTTCATCGCCATGTACGCGAGCGAATGCGACAAAAGGAGTACCACTGGTCGGATCCGACCCTAGACTCGTGCCCAGCCGGCATGTTTGATCTGTTCTGCACAGCCTGAGTCAGCGGCAGCTGAAGCATTTTTGGCGTCTGGACACGCTGACTAAGTGCTACGGTTTCGAAATCTCTTCTGATATCCTCGGTAATAGCTTCGGTCTGGCGGGAAATGAACTCAACGCTGCGTGGATGTTCCACGGATCATCCTGATAAACACGTGATCGCATCTTGGAAAAAAACTGTCCAGTCAGTTTAGAATTGGGTGCAACCAGCACGACAGCGCGGTGGCGACCACGGCTGATAGCGCCAAAGCGATCGAGATCAGCGTGTAATTTGCGTTTCTTGTTGGTCAGCGCCACAGCCAGGCAGGGCAAATGGCGACCGACCAAGATTGAATTGCTACCTTCTCTCTACGTACCACCCGGGCGATGCCGAGTAAATGAGCGCGAGTCGCGGGACTGTGGGATTCCTGCAGGACCATGATGTCACAGCGACGGTCCTCGGCGGGTGTCCGAATGCCCGGTGCATCACGCGACTTCATCGGAAAAACCGAATCTCAAAACTCCCAGTGCCAGGTTCGAGGGCCACATTTATTTCAGGAACACTGAATGCCGCAGCGCAGTCCAGCCCGAAGGTGACGTCGATATATTAGCGTGGACTGCAAATCCATCCGGATGGTCCCATCCGCTGCCAGGGCAGCCACCGAACACGTGCCGTCCATCCATTTGGGCGGCGCCAAATTCTGAGATTGTCCAGCACACATCGCCGTGGCTTCGATGGCAGCTTTAGGCCCGCCGGAAGCTGACGGCTGCCCTTACCGACCGATGAATGGTCCTTCGCAAGGCACGGCCGCGCAATCGACACACGGTATATAAGCAGGGCGCTCGAGTTTCGGAAGAGACATCCGACGGTCCCTCTCTCTCTCTCGGAATCCGTCGTTGTCTGCCGCAGCGCACGCTCCCTCTCTCCTACCCACTACCATGTGCACACACGCCGCTGCCTCCCAGACCGCCGTGTCCGTCTCCGAAGACGCATCCCGCTCACATCACGCCATCACGGAAGTCGTCCTCCCAAAATCATTCAGCTCGGGGCCCCAGTGCTGCTCCTGCGGCTGGAGGGGCGGAGGACATGCGTGCGTCGGCTTCTCGTCCGCCGCTTTGTCGAGACGTGTTCCTGATTTGCGCGCACACAGCTGGAAGTGTCCTTTCAATCCGGAAACCTGCGCTTGAGTTTGTTCGACGGATCAGCGCCACCAACCCCACAACTCGCTGCCCACGGCGCACTATCACCTCCCAATCCTCCTCTTACTCTGTTATCATATCTGTCTTCTTATCTCCACACTGTATAACTACCTCGGAGCTCGAGGCGCATCCGTCCTACGCAATGTAATCAACCACCAATAGCATCTATCTCTGTGCAACGGCCAATACCAATACCACCCGGCATGATTCGCGCGAACAATGAGGCATGTTTGAACTCGGGACAACCCGGTTCCTGGCGTTCTCACGGTTCGCTCATCTCTGTTTAACGTAGGTTGCAGCCGAGTAGCGTTCGCTGTACGTTAAGGATTCGCGTGTGCCTTGGCAATACAGATCGCTTGATGATTCCTCAATATGACCCGCGCGGCTTCATCTGAGTCATGAGCTGAGACAGCACGGGCAACTCGGGCATTCTCGATTCTCACACCCAATGCGAGGCAGACACAGACAGTTCGTCTTGATCCGATCTACAGTACATGACGACAAATCTACAATAGATGCAAGACATGGAACAGACACAGGCGCGCGCTCAGACGGTCCGCATCTTCAAAGTGAAGTACAATCTAGGGTTCGTACATGCAAATCAGAAAAACAAAAAGTTTACTGGCGGTGGCTGCGGACTCACGCGATGCGATAGATGACAGTGATGGCGATCAGGATCCCAGCCCATTTGCCGTATCCGATCGAGCCGATTTCAAGGTAGTTGAGTACATCTTGACCCGAAACCGTGCAGGTATCCGGAGTCGAGGACGGATAGGCGCAAGCGCAGTCGCCATTGATGCCTGCGGTAACACATTTGAATGAAAGGCCACGAAGATCAGACTGCAGGAAGTTGAGCCACATGAATAATTTTGAAATTTGAATTCAGGTTGGACGACGCACGTTGACCAAGAGTTCAAACGCGTAGCGCTGGTAGTCCATGAAATGGAACGAGTAATACCAGAAGCGAGGAAGCGAGCGGGATTTAATGCTGATTTATCCACGTCAGTTGAGGCTGATTGAATGCACACAACACATACAAGTAACCCCCAACGCTCATCCAGAATCCATTGATGCTTTTCAAATCTATCAGCTAAAGCCGCGGGGGAGGGAAAGTGCCAACTCACAAAGCTCCGATGGCCAGCGATGCCACGAAGATGGGGATAATGGACGCGACGATGATGACTTGACTTTCGGCCGCCCAGATGGCCAAAAACAAGAACCCAAGGAAGCGAAAGAACGCCGCAGCACCCGAATGAAGGCCCTGCCATACATCAGGTCAACGGAATATGGAAATGAAGACAGCGCTCACGATGGCCCAATAGCAGATGACCGTGAACAGAAAGGCGCAAGCGAAGAGAAAGGGGATGTTGACCAATGTATTGGAAAGTACGAATGGAAGTGTCGAGTAGAGCCCGTTTTTTGATTCGCGATAGTAGACTGCGCGTTCTTCCAGGACTTTATGAAGGGAATCAGTACAGCAGACGTTTGTTGAGTAAGCGGATTACAGCCAGGGATGCCAGCGACGGACATCTAAGCGACTAGTCACTATCGACCGTCCAAGTACATGAAAAGAACGCACAAAAGCCAGGAATGCGACGCTGTAGAAGTGGACCGACAGGCGATCATCAATTTTGGAATCATCGGTGCCGAGTCTGATCCAAATAAGGCTAGAGTAGAGTTAGAATGGATTAATAGAACGCAAGAAGGGACTGACGCTAGCATCACACCCATCCCTGCGTACATGCCCATTCGGACACCATACGCCAACAGATTACGTGAATAGTTCACCGCAGTGCGCTCGGACAGCACCAGCGTATTCCAGAGGAGAGTCGCCAGAACACCAGCTTTTCCATGCTCAGGCTCTCCAGCAGCGCCGACCAACGGGTGCAGTTCGCTCTCATATCCGCTTTCATTGGAGCCGGCGTGCATCGATGTTGACAAGTAGAACTGTCGGAAGCTGTGTGCGTCGGTTCCCAGTTCTCTGCGCTCATCTGTGTCAGAAAAATCGTTGTTCAGGAAATTCATGGCGTGATCCGAGGGATTCATCTGTCAGATAAGAGAAGGTGCGTAGAACAGTCAGTCGAAGAAGGTTAATCACAGCAAGATGTTCGACGTACAAATCTGCCGACAGGATGGCCCCAACGCTGCATGAAGCCCGCGAGTTCGTCCACCTTGCCCAAGAAACATGTTTTACCCTCAGAAAGCAGGAGGAGATCGGTGAATTGGGCAAGAGTTTCGAGCGACGGCTGATGAACGGAGGCGATGACGATCATCCCCTCACTCACTGCTAAGGTTCTGATAGCCGACATGACTTCTCTTGCGGAGGTGCTATCCAGCTGGGAAGATCATCAGCACAATGCAGCTATGAAACGAAGAAAACTGACACCAGATGTCACTTCATCTAACAGTAGGATGCGCCTGGGAAAGTTGTTGGAGAGTTTCATATGGAGCTATGGATGCGAATCACGCACGGGAAAGTGACCATAGCACAAGCAGCCGTGACGCGCCGCTTTTGGCCTGAGCGGGTGCAAAGTAGACGATTAGATTCACTACGATTCGGAGAAAGCAGTTAGCATAGCATGGCTCACCCCCCGAAACGCCCCTTGAAATGGGGGTCCCTATCCTCTGATCGGCGCAGGATTGAAGGCCCAGAGCTGCCAAGACCGTGTCGACACGCTCAGCAACCGCTCGACGTCCGAGAAGAGGTAAACTAAGCCGAGCAGATGAGCAAGACAGGATCAAGCCGAGGCCTGTTCGATAGACGTACTGCAGCCTCAAAGCATATGTGACACTCTCGCGGACCGTTAGCACGCCTAGCAACGCGTCCTCCTGCTCGACGAAGGTCGACATCTTTTGCATTTTCGTGGCACTCAGCGGCTCCCCGTTGAGACTGATCTGTCGACGATGGATATCAACATGCTGCGCGGGAGGGGAACTACCGGCGACTTCACGAACCGACGCGCCCTCAAGAGCGGGCTTGCGGAATGCCATTAGGTCAAGCAGTGTGCTCTTCCCTGCGGTGCTTCAGCGACACGCGACATATCCTTGAAGTGGGGCAAACTCACCAGCACCAGATGGGCCCTGATTGGCGCCACCGTCAGTTCCGATAATGGACTAGCAGCAGCAGTAGCAGAACGCCGTGAGTGCACGCACCATGACAGCCAGGAGCTCTCCCGCTCGCACAGAGACCGACACATCCTCGACCAAAAAGCGCGACTCCCGGCCCTTCACGCCCACCTGGAAGCTCAGATGCCGGAAGTCCAGGCGCGATGAGCCCGAGTTGGGCAGATGGGTGAGGCTCTCCGCGCGGCGCGCGGCGGACTTTTCGTGGAGAGAAGTCGTGGAGGTGTTCGACATGGGCATGGCGGACGCGGAAGAGGGGTTGGGAGAACGAAGTTGAGATCACGGCACGGCGACAGGGATTCAGAGCGGTATTTAAAGCATGATTGACATCCGATGTGCCTTAACCTATTGTAGACATTCTATGCCAAATTGCCATTCGAACTGGGCGGTAAATTGATATGTAACTCGCTTGAGAGCGATGGAAGTAGCTCGTTCCGTGTCGGAGATGAGATGTCATGGGCAGTGGCTATGGTCTAGGCCTTGACGTCACGTGGAATCGCGACTCCCCCATGTCATCAGGATGACCATCTCCCGACTACGAGGAGTGTGACTGTGACTATCATTGTGACGTGTGCTTTTCTTGTACCCTTGCCACTGCGCCCCCTGCGTCGCTCGCGTTGCTGCTGTCAAGCTTCTACCCCGTGCGCCTCAATCACAACGCAATGAAATCACAAATCTCGCTTGTGTACTCCGGATTGAGCCGTGGAAAGACATCTGACGACTCATTCCAATCTCACTACGCGCCTCCAAGGCGGACAGATGCTGTCGTGTTCGTCAGTTTTGGCACACTTGGCGAGTTGAATTGCAACGCTAGCCGTAACTTGCAGTGCTCCTATCCTTATCCGCACACCGACGCATCCTACAATCCGTCATATAATCTGCGCGACCATTGAAAAGCCGGACCTGACGAGTCACAGCTGTGTGCAGAAACACGCCACTTAGGGCTCGCGCCAGATTTCATCCACAGCCATCTTAATATCCCAAATCGCATGAACCCTTTTTTCCGGTTCTTTCGACGATTTCCTTATATGCACTTCCCCTTGTCTCGCGTACACGAAATCACACTCACCTCGGGTCGTACGTCATCCCACCTTGTGTCGGTTTTGGACGCTCATTTGTTCGGTGATTGATTCAGGATGAATGGGGCTGTGACTCGGATGTGGCTGGACCTTGGAGGGTGCAGCATTGTTCTGTGCTTGCACGAGCCCTCTATATATGTGAATCCGGTCGGTGCGATCTTCCGAGCCGCACCCACCCAGCACCCACTGTATCCCTATTCTCCCCGTCGCGGCGGGCGTCTAAACCAGAAAACCCCATATTCACCACCATGTCCTTCATGCTCCCCGTCCTCTCTTTCGTCTGTGCCGGCCTCCTCGCTGTATTTCTAGTGTCCCTTCTCCGTCAACCGACGATCAACACCGCCAACGTCGCTCTTGTCCTCTGGCTACTATTCGGCAACATCGTGCACGCAGTCAACGCTATCGTATGGGCCCATGGGACGGATGTGAATTTGCTCCCCGTTTGGTGTGATATCGGTGCGTACACCGTGAAGGCGCTTTGGCCGACACTGACAGACGTTGAAGTCACGAAACTGCTCCTCGGGGTGAATGTCGCCGTCCCTGGGGTCTGTCTGTGCTCTGCGCGGTACCTCGAGCTGCTCTCTTCAAAGCGTCGGATCTTTCCCAATTCGTATTCGCAGCGGCTGCACACCCTTTTCGACATTGCGTTGTGTTACGTCCTTCCGGTCCTGTATCTCGCTCTTCGTATGCGCACTTTCTGTCCCTTTGGACTGTGCTGATCATCTGTTGCAGACTTTGCCGTACAGGACTACCGATACGACCTCGTCCAGGGCCTGGGCTGCTCTGCTTCTATCTTCAGGTCGATTCCCACTGTATTGCTCATGATTCTTCCCCCGCTTCTGTTGTGTATAATATCTCTCGTTCTATGCGGTGTGTGTACCGCTTTCGTCTTTGGACGTCCAACTCATCTCTGATCAGCTTTCGCCGTCTACCGCTTGGCATCCATGTCCAAGCCTCGATTCTCAGAGCATATCAGCTCTCGAACAGCCAT